TGCTGTGAACACCAGTGGCCTCCCCTGTCAGTGTGCCCAGACAGCAGCAACTTCATGAAAATTTCAAATACACATAAAACAGTGGGAATATGACAGAGATCCATGTGTGCCCATTACCTAGAATTAACAAAAAATACCCTGCCATATTTACCTCTAGATTGTTACTGAGTTCTGTTTTTTAAAAGTTATCTTACTTTTACTTGTGTACATGTATATGGGTTTGTGCATGTGACTACACGTGCATGGGGAGGCCAGAGGAACTAAACTCTGGTCCGCCAATAAAGAAGTGTATGCTCTGAACCATCAATCCACCTCTTTGGCATCGCTGAGGTTTCTTTAAAACAGAACCCTACATGTCAGTATTGTTCACCTCTAATTATTTCAGCACCTAAAAAATAAAAGTGCTTTTGTAAGTAGACACAAGAGCATTATTAGACTTTTAAAAGTAGCATTAACTCTTTCTCATGGGTAGAATGCAAACCTTTCAGGACTTGGGAGGTTGGTGTATAGCAGCTCCTGAGTAGGACAGCCTGGGTTACATAGGGAGATCAGATCTTAAATAACAAGGGAAATAAGATAAATAAAACTAACATTAACTCATTTAAAATAACCAATAGCCTCTTTTTTCCTTGTCTCCTACAAGCCTTTTTTCAGGTGATTTACATCTGGATGCAAATAAAATTCATAAATTAATTGTATTTGGTTGTGTTAAGCTTCATGACCCTGACGATTTCTCCCTTTTATGCCACTGACTTGATTGAAGAATGGTTTTCATGAAAATTACATTTTCAGTGGATTAAGTCTTAATTAGCTCACCTTATTAAATTTAAACCATATTACCAGACAACAACAAAAGCAAACTGGGTGAACACGGGTGAATTCTCCTTTTGAGTAATAAAGGAAAATTCCACAGAAAACAGTCTCTTCATTTTGAATTAGCTTCTAAAAGGACACATCATGGAGATTTTGAAGTATTATGCATTCTGTTGCTAGTGTTTAACACCATCTGTATCAAACAGAAAGCAATCTATGACTTAGAAAGTCATGGAGAAAACGTGAGATGTTGTTGATCACAACAGAATCACTTCCCAATGTCCATCCAATTTTGTTTGCCTCAGACGTGGAAATCCCATTCTTCCTTCACGGTGTAAATAGCCTCCCCCTTCCATGTTCTGAAATGAATATGTAAAGTTCTTTTGGGAGGGGGCACAATATGTAATAAGATATGCTTTGTGGTTATTTCATTTATGCCTACTTTTCCTACTAAACTAAAACTCCCGGCTCCTCTCAAACTTCCTGGCACAAAATAAACAGGCACTCAGTGGACATGCGGTCCACTGAAGAGGATTACAACTAAAGAAAAAGAAATCCACAATAAAAAGCTTTCTTCACAAAACTCCCACTCTCTCAAAGCCAGGGCACTTCTGAGAAAAGAGGTAGAAGTTCTACAACTGTAAGAAATTCAGCAAGCTAAGCGCCTGTCCCCTCCCTCCTTCCCCCCAATAAAAAGTCTGTTGGGGGCTAAGAGTTGGACAGCAAGTCTCCAGCTAACCCAAGGAAGGGGCGGGAGGAGCTCAGAAGTGGCCTCAGACCAACTCAGGTCGGTGGAGCCAGGTAGGATTTCGCTGACGCCCGCGGCTAGGCGACAGACCCTCGGGCTGTTTTACCTGATCGGTTCTAGTAGCCAGAGTTCTATCGGCCAAAATGCTTTCCTTCAACTCATCCAGTTTCCCGGTGTAGGCCAGGTTGCAGACCATTAGGTTAGACACACACCCCTCCATTTCGCAGTCCCAGGATCTCAGTGAAATTCAAGGCCCGCCCATTCACGTCTCCTCCGTCGGCCCAATCAAAGAACTAGAGGTTCTCCAATCATTCTTGTCTCTGTTTTCTGTGTTGCTCGTTCCACAGCCCGGAGCTTCTGGGAGTTGAAGTTTGAAGGCATTTCCGGGCCTGGAGGCGTCTTTGCCGGATACGCGGTTCTGGCTCCTAGCAATGTGGAACTACAAGTCCCAGAATCCTCTGAGAAAGCCGTAGTCAAGTTGCCGGTGGAATTGGCCCAGGATGACAGCTGGAGAATGGAGTCAGGTAATGGGAGCGGCTTCTGGAGGCACTGTGAGAAAGAGCTAGGGTGGGTGGTCGTTGGTGGGCCAGTAAATCGGCCACATGAAACGGAAACTACACCAGGGCAAGAGAGAGTTCTGGGATCCTAAAGATCTTGTTCTTCTGGGCCTTCACTTGCAGTGGCGGAAGGGAGTTGAGTTGGAGTTGAGTACTACCTCTTGAGCTTGAACCACTGACTGTAATTACCCTTCCCCCTCCCTGCCACTGTTCAAAGAATGGAAAGAAGTACAGGCTAGTTAGCCTGCCATCCCGGCAGAGTGGCTTCAGAGTAGGGATCTGCCACAGCAGCGGTTACACATGACACCATACAGAGGTGATGTGCCAGAGTAATTTTAAAGACAGGGTGTGATGCCATAGGAGCCACTCGATACCTAAGAGACCTCAGTGAGTCTGTAGCCTGGTGACATCGCTAGTTAACTGCGGTCACCTTAGGGATACCGGAGCTTGATGTCACTTAAATATCATGGTAATGGAAATTACATCAAAGCTTGCTAGAATGTTAAGCTAACAATGCGGGTTTTTTTTTTTTAAAGGGAACTTCCAAATAGTGCTGTAGCAGAAGAGATGGAAGGCTTATCTTTTTTTAGAGCATATTTGAAAGGCTATTAGAAGCAAATGTTAAAAATATATTTTAAAAAGTGATTATGTTCATGTCTCTCCTGTTGTGGTATAGAACCGGGCTTAGCAAACTTTTTGTTAAATGCCAGATCATAGGTATTTTAGGCTTTTTCAGGGCAAATGCTAAAACCAAGTCTGGAACACAAGGTTAACTGATGAAATTTAAGATGTAATAATAGTGGAATATATTTTTAACACAGAAATACTGAGACCAGCATTCTTTAAGAGAGGTACTGTTTTGTGTAATTAATGTTTAAAGTTAACATTCTCTATCATGAAAATAGGTTGCAAATGTTCTTAAGTTAGAGATTTTAGTTATTTTAGTCCATAGGAAAGTCTTTGAAATATCTTTTCACACAGAAAGCTACTGCCAAATATTGATAATCCATGAACTTATTATTTTAAAGAATATTTTATTGTGTGCATCTCTGTCTCTCTGTGTCTGTCTGTCTGTTTCTCTCTCTCTCTCTCTCTCTCTCTCTCTCTCTCTCTCTCTCTCTGTGTGTGTGTGTGTGTGTGTGTGTGTGTGTGTGTGTGTGTACAGTGTGTGTACATGGCTTGGTATCCAAGTGGAAGTCTGAGAACAACTTTTGGGAGTTGATTCTCTACTTCTGTCATGTGGTCCTGGGGATTTAGCACAAATCATCAGGCTTCCTTGTGGAACCATCTTTAAGGCCGTAAGTTCTAATTTTGATCTAAACAAATTTAAACATTTTCCCAGAGTAGTTTTAGATATACAGAAAAGTTGCAGAGTACAGTGCTGTGACTCACACCTTTAATCCCAGCATTTGGGAAGTGGAGGCAGGCAGATCTCTTTAAGATAGCAAGACCCTATCTCAAAACAAATGTTGCAAAGATAGTACAGAATTCCTACATATTCTCCACCCATTTTTACCGCTCCCTCCCTATTTAACAATTTGGTTGTGATAACTTACATAGACTAAAATTCAACTGGGGCTAGGAGTGCCCAGTAGTAGAGCATTTGGCTGACATGTGCAAGGCCCTAGGTTCAATCCTCAGCACTACGAAAACAAAAACTAAATAAAATACACCTATTTAAGTATGAATTGATTATTTGTAAGTTTCAGAGTTATGCAGCTATCACAATGAATCAGTTGTAGAATATTTTGATCATCCCAGTAAGATTTCATGCTCATTTTCAGTTAATCTTTATTCCCCACTTCCTGCTCAGGCAGCCACTAGTGTATTCTTTGTCTTTATAAAATTGCCCATTCTTAACATTTCACATATATGAAATCATGTAATATGTGGTCTTTTGAGTCTGGCTTCTTTCATTTAGCATAATAGTTTTGAGACTTAACCATATTGGTGCATTGTAAGTACTTCCTTACTTTTGTTACCTAATAATATTACAGTGTGTGGGGAATATGTGTTTTGGGTGTCTACTCACCAATTGATAGACATTTCGTGGCCTTTTTGGTAGTTGTTGGCTATTATGACTAATGCTGCTTAGAACACTGGTGTGCACATCTTTGTGTGGACCTCTGTTTTCATCTCTTGTTACCTGAAGGTGGAATTCCTGGGCAATTGGACAATTTATGGTCAACTTTTAAAGCAATTACAAAATTGTTTTCCAAAGCAGCAGCTGCTTTCTGTGCGTGAGGCTTCTTGCTGCGCCACAGCCTCAGGCACATTTTGTTATCTACTGGACTCTTGTTTTGTTTGAGAGTCTTATTATGAGACCCAGATGACATCAAACTCACAATCCTCTTCCTGCCTCAGCCTCCCAAACTCTGGGATTTCAGGTGTGTGCCTTGCCTTTGAAAAAAATATAGCCATTTAAGTTGGTCTGAAATGATAGATTGTAGTTTCAATGTTTATTTCCATAAGGAGTAGAGTGGTAGGAAACATCTTTTTAAGTGCTTTCTAAGACATTGGTCTATCTTCTATACATAGGCATCTGCTTCTCTGTTTATTTCCATTTTAAAACTGGGTTGCCATTTAATTGTTAAGTTGTAACAATTATTCCATAGTCTAAATCCTAGTCCCTCTCAGGTATATGATACGCAAATACTTACCATGTGAACTTACAATTCATAATTTTTTCCCTTTTTGCTTTGTTTTATTTTTGTTCATGCTATTTTGGTTTTTGAGACATGGTCTCACTGTGTATCCCAAGTTAGGCTCAAACTTGCACTCCTTTTGCCTTTTCTATTACAGGTGTGGGCATCTGTGTTCAGATTTTTCTTCATCACAATGGTATGTGTTTGAAAGGAAAGGATTTTTTTGGTTTTTCAAGACAGGGTTTCTCTGTTTAACAGTCCTGGCTGTCCTGGAACTTACTCTGTAGACCAGGCTGACCTCAAACTCACAGAGATCTGCCTGCCTCTGTCTCCTGAATGCTGGGATTAAAGGCGTTGGCCACCACTCCCTGGTGATTTTGTTTTTTTGAGACAAGGTTTCATTCTGTAGTCCAGGTTGACCTACAACTCACTGTGTAACCTGGGCTTGCCCCAGACTCAGTGATTATCCTGCTTCAGGCTTCCAAGTGCTGCTATTACTGCAGTCAGTCACCAGGCCTCACTCACATTTTGATTTTTTTTTTAATTAGCTCAAATTAGGAACAAGCTTGTTTCACATGGCAATCCCTTCTCCCTCCTCTCCTCCCCAACCCCCTATCAGTCCCCACCACCACATCCCCCTTCAGCTCCCCAGGGAGTGAAAGGCCCTCCATGGGGGCTCCCCAAAGTCCACCACATCATCCTGGACTTGGCCTGGGCCCTCCCTCATGTGTCCAGGCCGAGAGAGCATCCCTTCATGTGGGATGGGCTCTCAAAGTCCCTTCTTACACCAGGAAAAAATACTGATCCACTACCAGGGGCCCCATTGAGTGCAGAGGCCTCCTAATTGACATCCATGTTCAGGGGTCTGGATCGTCCTGTGCTGGCCCCCTGTTGGCCTCCCAGACAGCAGTCTGGGGTCCATGTGCTCCCCCCTTGTTCAGGCCAGCTGTTTCTGTGGGTTTCACCAGCCTGGTCCCAACCCCTTTGATCTTCATTTCTCCCTCTCTGCAACTGGATTCCAGAGTTCCATTCAGTGTATAGCTGTGGGTGTCTGCCCCTGCTTCCATCAGCCACTGACTGGATGAGGCTCCTCATGCTCCCAATTAGGTCAGGAGATCCTGCCCCTTCCCATTCTCCGGGGTCCATGCATTTTTCTCTTACAGTCCTTCTTGTTTCCGAGTTCCCTTGGTGATGAGGATTGTAGGCTGGTAATCCTTTGCTCTGTGTCTAAAATACATATATGAGTGAGTACATACCATGTTTGTCTTTTTGTGACTGGGTTAGATTTTGATGAATTCGACCCCCCCCATACATAGTTAAGATTACAGAATCTAAGATTTCGAAGAGTTATTTCCTCGTTTTTTTTTTTCTTCTGGAAATTTTGTTTTCTCTTTTGCCTTTATGATTCATTTTGAGTTAACTTTTTTTTTTTAATATGGTTTAACATCAGTTAGTGAAGGTTGTTATCCAGATTGTTCTAGTAGCATTTGTTGAATCTTTTATTATTAACATTTTAATTCACTCTTTTATCATATCACAATGAATAAACACACATTTTAATAAACTCTACTCCACACCTTGTTCCCGTTTTATTAGTTTATCTGTGGGCAGTGTCCCATCCATAATAGTGTGAATCATACACTGTTTCTGTATCTTCAGAATCTTGTGGCTTGTGACAGTGTCTCAGATTTTGCTTGTTTTGATGACCTTGGTAGTTTTGAAGTGTACTTCTTAGATATATTTTTTTAAGTTTATTTTCCTTATGATTGGAGTGGGGTACAGGAGTATAGAATTTTCACTGAGTATATTGGCTGCTTGAGAAAGAAGTCTATTGTTATATTTGCTTTGGGGAATGTCATTATTTGGCAGATTAATCACTTCCAACTGAAGGTTAGGTGAAAGCACCTCAACTGCACAGGGAAATGGATCTTGGGCTTCAGAAATAACCTTTCCATTTGCTTTACAGTCTAAAAGCTGCTGCTAGAACTGTAGTGTGAACTCAGAAAACATGTATGTTCTAAATTTGCCTGTGACTGGAGATACTGTTCCTAATTTTAACTTTTGCTAAGAGGCAGCTATATTGTGGTATAATTTGTATACAATAGCAGGGCGTTGGTGGTGCACGCCTTTAATCCCAGCACTTGGGAGGCTGAGGCAGGCGGATTTCTGTGAGTTCAAGGCTAGGCTTGTCTGCAAAGCTACACAGAGAAACCCTGTCTCAAAAAAAACAAAAAATAATAATTTGTATGCAATAAATCTCATTGTGTCAAGGTAGTAGAAGTTCAGTGTACTTGGTTATAAATATATACTGTTGTATAACCA